CACCGACCCAGAGCGGGAGGGGTCAGTGGCTCGAGTCTTTCGCAGAAAACGGGCGCACGCTCAGGGTCATGTTGACTCGGTGCGACTCGCTAGGACTAGACGGAGGCGCTACGGCGTCAAACACCGATCTCGACTCGGACTCTTCGGCCGCCAGTTACATGTCGGTCGTGTCCGGAGAGTCCGCCAGAAGGGCCTACCTTAAAAGAGGAAGGGGCTCTTCTGACCCGGAGGAGACAAGTGGCGCTGTTCCCGCTAAGGGGGCAGCGCACAAATCGAAGCGAGGACGGGGCCGGCCCCTCAATGTAGAGCTAGCCGATGCTGAGGTGGCCGCGTCGCTGCGCACAGCGAGAGAGGCACGGGCCTCTATACCATCTGGCCCGGCCCATCTCTCGCTGGCGGAACCAGAGGAGGACCAGACCAGTGTTGCCCTCAACCAATGCGTTGAGGCATCACTGAGGACAATACTGGAGGTGGCAACGAAGTCCTCAAACATCAAGGGGACGCTGGTGAAAGCGCTCAAGGAGGCGGCGGCAAACATCAAGGCCGCCGTCTCCCAACTTAGAGAGCGAACCATGTCTGAGGAGGTGGCGCGGCTGGAAGCAGCGAACGCGCGCCTCCAGAGAGATATGGAGGAGATGCGGCGCGAGTTGAAGGATCTCGACAAGCGTCGACCTGCCCAGCCTGGCGAAGCGGACATCCGGCAGATGCTGGATGAAGTATCGCGTGCCAACGTTGAAACGTTTGGCACCATACTTAACGCCAGGCTGGCAGGACTGGAGGATCGCCTCCTCCCTGAACCGCGGCGCCGGCCCCCGCTGGCAGCGGACAGGAGAGTAGAAGGCAACAACCCCCCCGCTTCGCCCCCTAAGGCGAAAAAGGGGGCGAAGAAGAAGAAGGGACCAGCCGAGGAGCCCCTGCCCACAACATCGGGCACTGGGGCCCAAGAGCAGGCGTCGACTTCGGCGGCGGCCCCAGGCGAGGCTCCGCCCAAAAAGAAACGGAATAAAAAGAAGAAGAAGCAGCCGAGCCTGGCTGCTGAAGAGGCCGCACAGGCAAGGGACAGAGCTGCCCCTACGCCTGCCGAAGCCCCGTGGAACATGGTAGTGTCACGCGGGGCCAAGAAAGCGGCCAAGAAGGCGGCCAAGGGGCCGGAAAAGACTCGCCCCCCCGAAAGAAAGGCCAAGCTACGGGCCCCTAAGACCGCGGCGGTCACCCTCACTCTCGCTCCGGGAGCAGAGGAGAGTGGCGCTACGTACGCCACGGTCTTAGCGGAGGCCAAAAGCCGTATTAACCTCGCGGAACTTGGCATCGCCGACGTCAAGTTCCGCAGGGCGGCCACCGGCGCCCGGATGCTGGAGGTGGGGGGCGAGGCAGCCCCGGAAAAGGCCGACTCTCTGGCCGCTAGGCTCAGAGAGGTGCTCGGCCCGGAGGTGGTCAGGGTCGCCCGGCCGGTGAAATGCGCAGAAGTGCGTATCACCGGCCTCGACGACTCTGTCACCGCGGCCGAGGTCGTAGAGTCTGTGGCCAGAGAGGGGGGCTGCGCGGCCGACGCTATAAGATCGGGCAGGCTCACCGTCGGCCCGAGGGGAGATGGCTCACTCTGGCTGAGCGTGCCGGTGGCGGCCGCCAAAAAGGTGACCGACGCCGGCCGCGTGAGGGTCGGATGGACCTCAGCCAGGGTGGTGCTGCTCGCCTCGCGTCCGACGCGGTGTTTCCGCTGCCTCGAGACGGGGCACATGGGTGCCAAGTGCCCGGGTGAGGTCGACCGCAGCAAGCTCTGCTTCCGCTGCGGGAAGCCAGATCACCGGGCACGGGACTGTGTGGCAGACCCGAACTGCCCCGTCTGCGAGGCGGCGGGCAAACCGGCGGGCCACTTGATCGGCGGCGACGGCTGCGCCACCGCCGGGCAGAGGCCAGCGCCCAAAGGGAGGAGTGCGCCGACGCGAAGGCCTCGGCGCAAGGCCAAGAAGGCCGGAGCGGAGCGGATGGACACCAGCCCATAAATGGCCACCATCCGCTTCCTCCAATGTAACCTCAACCACTGCGCCCGGGCGCAGGACCTGCTGGCCCAAACCATGGCGCAGTGGTTGATAAATGTAGCGGTGGTTGCCGACCCGTACGTCATCCCTTCCCGGGATGACTGGGCGGGCGATGTCGGCAACCTGGTGGCCATCTCCGTTCCGGCCCGCGACGGCTCCCCCCCTCTCCGAAAGGTGGCGAGAGGGACGGGAAGCGTGCTCGTTGTCGTCGGGGGAGTTGCCATAGTGGGGGTGTACTTCCCCCCCAGTTGGCCCCTCGCCGACTTCGAGCGCGCTCTCGCAGAGGTGCAGGCGCTCACTGCACGAGTCTCTCACCTCCCCGTGATCGTCGCGGGGGACTTCAATGCCAAATCAACGGCTTGGGGATCCCCCGCGACGAGCCCGAGGGGGGAAGAACTGGAGGACTGGGCGGCCGCGTCGGGATGGATGCTCCTCAATCGGGGGAGTGAGCTCACCTGCGTGCGCCGACAGGGGGGGTCCATCGTGGACCTCTCCTTTGCGTCCCCGGCCTTGGTGCCCAATATCTGTGGATGGAAGGTCGAGGTGGATGTGGAGACGTTGTCGGATCATCGTTATATTCGATTCGACCTCTCCACGTCCGCCTCGGCCTCGACGAACGCGCCACGCACCACGGCCGGGGACGGCCCGCGCTGGGTGCTGGGACGCCTGGATAGGGAGCTGGCGAAGGAGGCGGCTATAGTCGCAAGCTGGTCAGCTCACTCTGATCCCGTAGACTCCGCCGAGGACGTGAACGTGGAAGCGGACCGGCTGGGCGAGTTGCTGGCCAACGTCTGCGACTCGTCCATGCCGAGGGCCCGCCCGTTCCGTCCGCGTCGGCGGGTGTACTGGTGGCGCCCGGAGCTGCGCGAGCTGCGGCGAGCGTGTGTGGCGTCGCGCCGCCGGTACACTCGCTGCCGAAGGCGTCGAGTCCGGGATCAGAGGCAGGAGGAGGAGCTGTATCAGGCGTATAGAGCCGACCGCCATGCTCTCCAGGTGGCCATCGCAAAGGCCAAACAGGGAGCGTGGGAGGAGTGGCTCAAAACTTTGGAGGAGGACCCGTGGGGCAGACCGTACCGAGCGGTGCGGAAGAAGCTCCGACCCTGGGCTCCGCCTATAACAACAACGATGGAGCCACAATTGGCGGAGGCAGTGGTCGGGGCTCTCTTCCCACAACGGGTAGGGTCTGCCCTGCCGGCAGAGGAGGAGGGAGGGGCGGTCGACGACGAGGTGGAGCCGGTGTCCGAGAAGGAGGTGATGGACGCCGCCGTAAAGCTCCGCCCTGGGATGGACGGGGTGCCTGGTCGGGTACTACACCTGGCACTTCCCGAGCTTGGGGGACGGATTAGGGCCCTCTTCACCAGTTGCCTGGTGAAGGGCCGGTTCCCCAGCTCGTGGAAGGAAGGTAGGCTCGTCCTTCTAAAGAAGGACGACCGTCCGCCCGACCAGGCATCGGCGTATCGGCCGATTGTGTTGCTCGGCGAGCCGAGCAAACTCTTCGAGCGAGTGCTCGTTGCTCGTCTCGCCGAGCACATACATCTGGACGATGCGCAGTTCGGATTTCGCTGTGGCCGGTCCACTATCGACGCGGTGTCTCGTCTGAAGGGTCTAGCTCAGGAGGTAGTCGCTCAGGGCGGCGTGTTGGTGGCGGTGTCGTTGGACATTTCCAACGCCTTCAACACGCTGCCCTGGGCGGCGGTGATGGGGGCACTGCAGCACTTCCGAGTTCCGGGTCACCTGCAAAGGCTGATCCGGGACTATTTCATCGGAAGGGCTGTGGTGTACCCCACCAGAGACGGCTGGGCCCGACGGGCCATGTCGTGCGGTGTTCCACAGGGATCGGTCTTAGGACCGTTCCTGTGGAACATCGGTTACGACTGGGTGCTGCGCGGAGCCGTGATGCGGGGGGTCGGCCTTATATGTTATGCCGACGACACCCTCGTGACGGCCCGTGGCAGCACACACCGTGAGGCGATGGCCCGCGCCACAGCGGGGGCCGCCCAGGTGGTCCACCGAATCCGGAGGCTGGGTCTCGAGGTGGCCCTCAGCAAGTCCGAGGCCCTGGCATTCCACGGGCATCGGCGAGGGCCGCCTCGAGGCACACAAATAACGGTGGCCGGGACACCCATCGCCATCGCAGGTACTATGAAGTACCTAGGGCTAGTCCTCGATGGTCGATGGGTCTTCCGAGAGCACTTCCGGCGCTTGGCTCCGAAGCTGGTAGCCGCC